GCGCACATACAGGACAGTAGTAAGAGCACACAGGGAGCACACAAAATATACAAAATAAGTAGCTGCTATTGTTTCTTAGCTAGCTGTAAATGCTTCAACATCCTCTTTCAAAATATCTATATACATAGTGCACAGTTATACACATAGGACAGGGTAATAAGTAGATAAAGTGACATTCAATAGGATATTGGAATTTTAAGATCAAACATTTTTGCTGCCATTATATTCCTTATGTGTGTACAAAACTGGATATTTTTTTCAGCTTGCTCTTGGCGTAAAAAGATGCAGCAGTATTCTCTCATAGTGACAGCTTTTGGGAATGCACATTGTAATAAAGCAATTTCCTGTATGCAAATATCCTGTTTACACATCCCTGCTCCAGTCATTGTCACTTGACAGATTGCCCGAAAACGAGGGAAGCAGCTATACAATGAAAAATGAGACTAGCACGACTTCAATAAGGAAAAAATGTATTGTGTCTCTGCTTGGGTCTAGACATGCTTAAAACTGATGTCACAGAGAAGATCTGGGGTCTCGCTCACTCACAAACAAAATACACATACACAGATCAGGGCAACTATTCACAACAGCCGATAACGGAGGAGGCGTGCTGTGGCCCCTCCTTGAGATAATGAGAATGAATGATAGAAAGTGAAGAGATGAGGTATTGGCCAAATGGTACAGAAAAAAATGTGTTGTAAGTGTAAGAGGCACAGGGAAAATGGAAAATGTGGCAGAGGCAGACTGAAAGGATGCAGAAGGACACAAAGCAGTGAACGACCCTCCATGTTCCAATGTGGTGTTTTTGGTGATGGGAATGGGACACTTTTTTCTGCAAAGTGTAATCATACAATCAGCGACTTGGGCCTGAAAAACTCTGTAGTTGAGGAAAGATGAGCTTCAAGTTTCAGCACAAATTCCCAATTTTAGCCATGCAAGGACCTCCAGCATAATATATCAAATGAAAGTTGTGGAAAAAACACACACTAATTAACACACAATCACACAACTGCAAATCTACCAAGCTTCGGCTACAGTGTTTTGTTCAATAATTGTTTTTACATAGTTTTCAAATTGCCTCTTGTCTGTGTTTTACAAGTGTGTTTTAAAGTGTTGACTCTTAAATGTCAATGTGTAGCACTTTGGGTTGCTTTCTTATTAACTGTGCTCTAGAAATAAATGTTTTGATTGATGATTTTGTTCCTTAGTATATGTCTTTCACCCACTGTATATTCTGTGCAAGAGTTATTGGATAACTTAATTGTTTATCACAAGGCACATCGATAATACTCCTATTTGAATAATGACTTTAAAGGTATTCCTTAAATCACAGCCATAATACCAAATTAGCATGTAAGTGGGAAGTGCCGAATTGTTGTTGTGCCTGTAGGTAAGGCGCTTAACCCACATTGTCTAGCATGAGTCTAGTCTGTGTGTCAATGATTGGTGGTGGTCGGAGGGGCAAATGGCATAGGTAAGTAGCCATACATTCATTGATGTGCCCCAGGGCAACTGTGGATGAATAATGCCATGTGAAAGATATGTAAGTGTCATGGAAAGTGCTATAAAAAAGTGTGCATTATCGACCAGGGCGTACCAGAGTCACAGCTGAAGTAATGTTATACTAAATCTGTAAGTGCAGTGAGGTCAAGTGAGGAAAAACTTGGCGCCTTTTCAAAGAGACCTCAAAAGTGAATGTTACACTTATCGAGCCACTTTCTCCATAATGGGATTAATATTGTCGACCTCCCACATGTGCACACAAAGCAGTGATGAGGCTGGCCCTGACCCGGGCCAGAGGACACATGACAGCGCGGCTCTTCCACGAGGAAAAGCTATTTGGCTGGCATCCCCTTGTCTGCGCGTTAGCCTCCTGGAACGACCTGGTATTTAATCAAAAGAATGAGCTCATTACCAATTCATGAACAACAGTCATTAATGGCCCACAAGTCAAGTCAAGTTGTGGAAAAATATTCAGCTTTTAAAGTAGCTCACCTGTTGAATGTTATACAGACCTAAATTAAAGGGAGACTTACTTATTTTCTGCTGGGGTTTTGTGCTAGTTTTAGAACTATTCAAATCCGGAAAAAGTGGAGAAGCTTGCATTGATCGGATTGATTTCTGTGTCTGTGTGGTTCGGTAACATCACAGATAAAGAAAAGAGAGCTCTAAACAAGGTGCTCCGCTCTGCTAAGAGGACTGTAGGCTGTGAACTTCCTGTCCTGGAGGCTCTTTATCAATCCAGACTTTTTATCAGTGCCCTGAGAATTATCAATGACTCTTCTGGCCACCCAGGAAAAGCCTTGTTCCAGCTTCTTCCCTCTGGCAGAAGATACTGTTCTCTGAGATGCAGGACATCTCGTTATGCTAATAGTTTTTTTCCACGAGCTGTTAACAGTTTGAATAGAGCACTTTAATGTTTTTGCACTCGTATAGATCTGTTTTAAGTTGGTCAACTTCACGGTGACATTTGTTTACTGTTTTTAAAATTTGTTTTATTTTTGTCTTTTAATGTTGTTTTGTGTCTGTACTTGTCCTGTGCACACTGGGAACTTTTACAAATGTATTCCAATGTAGTGTTACTGCAAATGGCGAGATAAATGAATCTGAATCTGAATCTAATCCTCCACTGTGTATTTTGGGTCTGTGTCCCACTTAATTGGACCTGGGAATGGATCTAATATTGATGAAACCAAATCCAGAATTTTCACTCGTACCAACCTGGGCCTTCCCTTTGAGTATCAACTGATGGTTTTAAATGATGGGTCAAATCCAGAGGACATTGTATCTACATAACATTAAAAGTATTAATGCTACTGTTGCTACTGCATCTGTAACTACTACTACAATTATATAATTAGGATCAAACACAAACTTTAAAATGTATGAAAAAGAACAATAGTCACACCGTTAGTTGTTGAGAGTTCATTCTCCTTCAGATTCGTTTGAGAGAAAATGAAAGTTTGAAGAAATAACAAGCAAACTTTATGATCTCCAACAAAATCATCGTCCATTTTGTCTCGTCACAGTTTCTATCATCGCGCTCGACTATATATGACGCATTTATCCAGCCGCAGACAGCACTTGTAAATGCTCAGAGTGATAACTGGAGAACAACAACCCTGAATTCTCATCTCGGTACGCTAATATGATGAGACGGGCTCTGGGTGCACAGGGGCAGCCAATATAATTACGCTCTCTCACACTGTCTGCAGAATGTAATCTTTCAGGGTAGAGCCAGATGACTGCAGCACAGGGGGAACAAAACACTCTCCATCTGGGAGCGCCGCAGATGAAGGCCTAAGAGCCACATATTCCATTGGGGAGGCCGGGAAGAGGCGAAAACGGGAGCTAATGCTAGTCTGTCGAAAGCCAAGCCGCCCCTTTCAGCATCCCCAGCTATTCAACGCAATCCTCCGTGGAGCCCCCATCACAGCCCCGACCCCGAAAAAAAGATGATGGCTTGGAATAGGGGAGGGAATTGAATGTGCCTGAGACCGAGAGACAGCGAGGCAAAGTGGGAGTAGAAAGATAATGGATGTTTGTTTATTTCGCATACTGAATCGAAGCGAAGAATGAGCGGTTGCTATGCGTGCCTGGTGTCTTGTTGCTAACAGTTAAAGAGCCATTATTGCAGTCAATCAAACCAAACATCAGACTATATCAATTTTATGAAAAATCACCCGTTGCTGTATTACCTGCACGTCCCTCTACATTAAGACCCATCTGCACGGGATTAACGGTATAATTGTTAAAACTCCAAAATGGTATGTTGCTACACCCAATAACACTAATACGGAAGCCATCCCCATCTGATCCATATTTATGTGTGGGAGCATTCGGGGCACACAATCTAGCAGAGGGCCATGCTGAGTGAGCACGTGGAGCTTCAGAGTGCTCAATGCATGTGAGAGGCAGGTTTACCATACCAGTGCCCATCGCAGCCTTCATCTCGAAAAAAGTTTTTAGAACCACGGGATTCAGTGATTTATACCTGAGCGTGAATACCTATTCACTTGAGCACATAGACCCCCCCATACAGATCACACTACCACATTCACACTAGTGGATACTATACAGACACAGACGAACAAAGCAGAAATTTAGTAGAGATAGCAAACAATAATCAAACACCCTTAACCAAGGTATTAGTATGAATACACGGTCCCATTTTTGCTTTGCATTAATCATAAACATGGAACTGAGGAGAGTGTGGGAGTCACACACATACAAAGTTTGGGTACAGCACAACCATGCCAGTTATGGGTGGAAAACTACACCCTAAATACACTTGTTCACTTTGGTTTTATTCTGTAGCACGATGCATATGCTGCCGTAAAATTGCTAAAAACCATAAGGCTTAGAGCCGACAGTCATCTGCACGTAGTCAGGATCCTTTCCTATTACCTGTCATCAAACATGTTGTATTGTCAATAATTTTTATAATGTAAACTACAGCCTTTTGCACAGTTTCATTCTAATCAATACAATCCAATCCATTGTGCTTCTCGCCAGTGTGCGAGCTCACAGTTCCAGAGCCTAAGTTTAGTTCCCATCTAGGTCATGCGCGTGATGACTAAGGCAAGTGGTTACCCAGCAGCCACGGGTTATGTAAATATAATATATATAAAATATATATATATATTATATATTATATATATATATATTATATATTTTTTATGATATATATATTAATATTATTAAATAATATATATTATTATCAACAACAACCAAACAAGTATTGTTTGTTATAAACCCCCCACCCCCCCCCTCCCCCCCCACCCCCCTCCCCCCACCCCCCCCCCCCCAAATTTTTTTTTTTATTTATTTTTTATTTTTTGTTTTTTATTTTTTTTTGTCACACCATTCAATACAGATGTAGACTTAGTGTCCTTGGGAAGAGTTCCAAGGGTTAGATGTACAGTTATCTACTAATTTTCGCGTTCTCGCACACATTTTAGAGTTCATACAGCAGACGACAAAGCACAAAACACACAAACCTTGAAAAACATCCGCCATTTTCTTTTTGTAGATGTTGAAATCTGTCTCCAGGAAGACGCAGAATACGACTCGTGTGATCTGAAGGGAAGACACAGATGAAAAAGCAATTAGTACAACATCCTGGCTCTTAAAGGTCTCCATCGTGAAGGACATGGGAGAATAAAAGGCTACGACGAGTAAACATCTGATGACAAGAGCGTAGACGAGCGGGAAATAATCAAAGTCACTCACAGATCTAATTAGTTCGTCACCCATTCACGGCCACCCGTCATCCTGCCTGCTTTTATCACGTTACTGCACGTTACATCAGAGCAGCATTAGGAGAAGCAGCGAGTGTACGGGAATGGCTTGAAGATGGTCCAGATAAATACACAGGAAAGATACTACACCGATATGATCTCAGCATGTTCATACGTTCAATTGAAACAAATAAGCTTTGGGCAAAAATCCTGCAATGTCACTTAATTCCTCATTGATACTCATGGAATGGAGATGTGTAAAGTAGCCCTATAAGTATTGATACCAATTTTTTTTTTTAAATTGTAAAAATATAAAAAAATAAAAACTCTAAATCGATATTGATACTTGGCAAATGCATATCGATAATTGAGTCGCGGGAGAAAGTATTGCGAAATAACGACCCATCCCTAGTGGAAACAGGACTTCTCATCGTAAGTGCTACAGGTTATGCAGTTTCCATTAATGGATATGTTTGCTTTGTTCTATTATAAGTGGCTTAGTATGATGTGTGTGCATGTGTCGTGTGTGTGTGCATGTGTCGTGTGTTTTGTGTGCAATGGTAATTGTAAAGTTTGTTTTATATTGGTGACTTCATTCAATAAAATGTGTTTTTTTATAACCCTAAATCACAACAGCAGCCACCTCGGAGGACTTGTTTACAAAGTTGTGGATTCCAACAACAGATTGTGTTGCTGTTGGAACAGTAATAGTAACAAGATCACACCGACAGAGTGAAACTAACCTGTCTCACAACTGTCTGATCCCAGCTCAGTGGGTGAACAATCCAACGCTTGGTGAATTCTGCTTCACAAATGTAGGAAGAGCTGACATAAAGGGATGAGTCAAGTTGGTAACTAGTTACTTTTGCCCCTCAAAAATGAAGTTCCTAAAGCAATTACTACATGTGTAGAAGTAATTAGTAAAAAAGTAAAAAAGTATCTTGCATAAAATGAATATTGAATGTTGCCTTGAATTCAAATTGCCCACACAGCAGGGATGGTTTTTTCCCCCAAACTTCTTGATTTCATTTTTGAATAAAAAAACAACTCCAGCATCAACACAGAAGTATTTTAGCATCTTGTGCATCATAGCATGATGCATGATAAATATATGTCAAACATTTTGGCTTAAGTGCTGCACTCTCACTGTGATAATTTGCTTAAAAGGATAGACGTTCACACGCTGACTGCAGAAAAAAGGGTCATCTCTCCTGCTCCTCGCTATGGACGCAAAGGCAGCCCCAAATGCACTGAATAATGGCAATTTTACACAACAACATAATGGTAGCGCTCTGTTGTAATTCTCCTGTGGGTTAGTGAAGCTTTGGGCCCTTTCATGACCCCACCAACCAAAAGACCACTATTCAAAGAGGGTCCTCCTGCTGCGTTCACACACATTTCTCTATTAATACTTCATGATGTGTTCTTTGCTGTAAATGCTAGCACAGAATATCCAGATCTTGGAAAATAATTTGTCTTTAAGTCTTGAGCTTTCATAAAAACGGAAACTAGATTTCCCCTGGTAGAGTATAACAAAAATAAAGTATACATTATTAAGTGGTGGGCTTGCTGACAAACAGATAAACAATGTGCATACACCACTGGGCAGTGAGGGCCACAGACGCTCCCAGGAATCCTCAATCTCCATCGCTTTTGGCTATGTTCTAATACACTGCTGAGGATGCCAAAGGAAAAGTTTTAAAATGTATTCAATAGTAAATTCAATACTAAAATACTAATGTGAGATTTCATAACACTTTTAAGCAACTTTTGTTAAAGGACAACTCACCCTCAAATCCCCTTTTTTTTGCTGATAAACGGTATAAATGAGTGTCCAATAGTGTTGTCTACATATCCTGGTCATAATCTTGTCACTTTGGTGCAAATTAGTTGAAAGTTAGACTTTCTGCCTAAAACCGTCTGTGAGGCGCCATCTGCTGGCGACCTGTATTACTACATTTGAATTTTGAATCTGGCGCCAACACTGGCACAGAAGTTGGACCTGACGTCTGCAAGTTGGACCTGACGTCAGCAGCCCCCCGCCCAGAGCAATGTAAACGGCCCAGTCTCGTTCACGCCCCCTTTAGTCCTCCAGGCTACGCCCATTTAGAGGAAGATTTGAACAGGAAATGTGAGAAACGTAAGCTCCGAGGAGCGGGGGTGAGAACCACTTTAAAGTTAAACTCATCATTCTATCAATGTGCAGAAGCCAGTACTTTCCCCTTGTTTTGTCTATCTGAAGGCCAAGCTACATGGCACCGTGGAAGCTGCTGATTGGAGGTCTCCATGCCTCCGCTCTGTATAATACACTTGCATTCTGTTGTATCTGTTGTTCGTGCTGTCTCTCCCATCGACAATAAAACATGTCTTCTGTCTGAATTTAAGACGCGATCCCAGACTTGGCTCATCCTCTTCACTAAAACTAAAATATTAAACTGTGCCAACAAATTAGAACCAAAGCTAACACTTAACTTGTATAGCAGTATAGACCCATCATCATTCTCTTCTATTCGTTTGTATTCCACACACTAGCCCAGCACTGCTTTTATTTGGCAGATCAGAAAGGCCTGGCATGGTCTTTGACAGTCCTGCACTCAACACGATGCCAAACCCAACCAGAAAAGCCAAATCCAGGTGTTGTCATTCTCTCTGTGTTCAAACACTTGAATAAAACAGTGCGAGTTGAAAAAAAAGAGAATAGTTGAAATGTGTATTCACTAATGTTAATTCAATTAGAGATGGACAGATATGGGTTTTTTTTTTTTTTTACAAAAGATCAAGGTTAGTGCTAATGTGGTGTTTAGTAATAAAGACAAATGTAGATTTAATTACATAATGCATTGAAGGGAAGTAGAGGGAAATCTGAAGACCAAAATATCCTTTGAAAATTTGTATCTGCATTTCTATATTTTATCTCAAATAAAAGTAGCCACACACAGTTCCGAGATGCTCACGTTGGCTGTAGAATAATGAATTTGTACTTCCATTGCAATGTGGGTCACTTTCCCAAAAAGACCAGCTCTTTTTTCAACAGAGTGAGCACATGCCCTCAATAATAATGCCTTTTAGCAAGTGTAAATAAGGATTGAAATGGAAAGTAACAACTTACAGTACTTTTATCCTCTTTGAAGAAAAGGTGGGCTGCAAAGGTGTGTGTGTGTGTGTGTGTGTGTGTGTGTGTCTGCGTGTGTGTGCGTGTGTGTACATGTGGCAGTCTACTGTACATGTTAAGAGTGCACCCCGCAGCCACCAAGGTTGAAAAAGTTAATGGAAGACTAATTAGAAAGCTGGGATTACTGCATGCAAGACTGTCTGGTCATTACTCATCACTGATTGGGGGGCCTCTGCCAAAGGGTGAGCGCAATATGGTTATTTCCCATGATGCATCTGGAGAGGCTGGTCATCATATCTAAAACGTCTTATGCACCGTGAGGTCGGGCAGTGCAGAAATGGTATGGCAAATTGTTGTATATTTTTGTCCGTCATTACTGTGTTTTTCTCATACACAAGCATTAAAAATATAGTACAAAGAAAAAATTCATATTTTACACATTTAGATATTTCACTACATTTGATAAATATATATAATTTTTCTTTGAAATCTTTTTCAAAACATTCAAATGTTTTGACATATACAGGTGGAAAACATGTACAAAAGGCCCTCAAGCGCTGCCCTGGGGTGACCACTGCTCATGACAGAGGCCCTAGTGGCTTTACAGGGGTCAAATGCAGAGGACAAATTTCCCTCTGGGGACAATAAAGAACAACTTAATAGATCATGCCTTTATTTCGTATAATGTTGATGATTGGCTCACAACCCCATGTAAAACATCTCAGATTATGTTTTGAAAATGGGCTATAAACAAAACAAAATCTATGCAAATGTTAATTTGCATCTAATGGGTGGGTGTATATATACAGTATATATATATATATACACAGTATATATATTTATATATACATATATATACAGTATATATACATTATATCATTTATTGGTTTCACTTTTTAACTTTAATTACCGAACACAAACAACATTCTAATTCTCCGAGTGTATCTAAATTATCTCCAGAGCTTTGTTCACCTCGGCCTAATGTATTCAGAGGCTTAATTGAATTTGGAAAATGTGACAGGATGAAACTAATTAAAACAAAATGGCCGCCATTCAACCTGTGCCCTTGTATCTCATTTGCACTGAACGCAGAGAAACATGATGTGGGCATATTTCACCAGATGTGTTTCCACTTACTGTACATAAAGTAGAGTCTGAGTTTGTACGTGTGAGCCCCACCCACATTTCCCCTTCAGGCCTGGTTAGCAAATGAGCTGATGATGTCATAGCTGGCCACCCATGCCCAACATTACATTTGGTGTGTGTGTGTATGTGTGTATATGCGTGTGCGTGTGTGTGCTTGGGGCGGTAGAGTTGAATGTATCACTATAACACGCTCTTTCACTCGTCCCATCTTGATCTTGTCACAAACAATAACAGGGACAGGTTGCCCTAGCATGTCTACCCCAGCTGGAGCAAAGGCCCATGGGAGATATGCGTGTGTGTCTGTGTGTGTGTGTGTGTGTCTGTGTGTGTGTGTGTATGTGGCTACCGCGGCGACGCCTGATGCTGAATGTTCTATGCATGTTTCCATATGGACAAAAGCGACAGGAGACTGATATACAGTATTAACACCGGCTGCAAAATTCATTCATTTCCTTTATTTGCTTTTGCTCAAGGTCGGAGCCAGCAGAAGCTCAGGGCCCCCGCACACTCGCTGACGAGGAGTAATGAAATGAATATATCACAGATAGTATATTGCATTCGGCTTTGTTTATGGACTGACA